CTGAATTCCTTTAAATTGCTAAATGATAGAGGAACATACTCCTATGTAGTCTAACTGCATTAAAATAGAAATGTCTAAATTGAAGTTAGTGGAATGTTTTCCAAGTACAAATCAGACTTCTGCAGTTGGATTGAAAAAGACGCCTGAAGTGTGAATGTATAAAGTTGATTGTCATAGGCCTAGCCAGTTTTCTCAGTGGATAGAGTGTCCACCCTTAGACTGAAGGGTCCCAGGTTCGATTCCAGTCAAGGTCATGTACCTTGGTTGCAGGCACATCCCCAGTAGGGCGTGTGCAGGAGGCAGCTGATCGATGTTTCTCTCTCATCGATGTTTCTAACTCTCTATCCCTCTCTCTTCCTCTCTGTAAAAAAATCAATAAAATATATTAAAAAACAACAACAAAAAACAAGAAGTTACCAATGAATGCGTCACTAAGTGGGACAACAAAATCAATGTTTCTCTCTCTCCCTTCCTCGCTCTCTAAAATAATACATTTTTTACAAAACAACTTTATCCCGTAAAATCATACATAATCTTTCCAGGTAAGGGTGACAGTAGTAACTGGCCCAGTGGTTTTCAAACTTGAGCATGTGTCAGCGTCTCCTGGGCATTAGGTGGTGTAGCTTTCTTAGAAAACGGCATCTAATTGGCCAGTAAGGAACAGAATGATTAAAGATTTCACGGCTCACTGTGGTTCAGTTCGATGTTATCCTTTCTGAGTCGTTCCAAGTAGAAAAACATGCACTCAGGACCCTCGCAGGGCCGTGTGGGCTCATCGGGTGCCCTTTGGTCCTGGTCGGGACGTTTTGGGAGTGTTACTTGGGGGTAAGTGAGGTCTTTGCTTCTGGTGCAGTTTATCCAGCGAGAACTTAGTGCCTGCCGAGGGCCGGCTGTGCGCACGACGCTGTGGCCACGGCCGTGCCTGGGCCTCGGTGCCGCTCCTGAGTCCCTTCAGCCTGGCCACGCCCACCCTGCAGGCACGGCGGCCACGCCCTCAGCCTTCACGCTTGTGTTGGCTCCGAATGGCAGGTCCTGTTGCAGACACAGTATGACCCCTCGCTCGGTTAATTTAGCTCTAAAGCGACGGTGACTTTCTGGTGGACGGCGTCTGTGAGGCGGCAAGCGGTTACAGTGACTCCACGCTTGCCTGTGACTTGGTTCAGGTTGTAGGCGACTTGGGTGTTTTATCAAGTAGTTTAAGGTGTCGAGAGGAGAAAATTATATGTGTGAATCGCTTCCTTTAAACATAAAGTCATGAAATTTGTTATATGTTTTGATTTATAAGCAGAGAAATAGCATTAAAGCTCATTTTACTAATGAAAAAAATTGTTTTTACAATAAAAAGCACAGAGTACAGAGTATTATGTGCTCTCACCAGTGGGTTTCGAGTGTGTCACTTGAACATGGTCACATAGAGTGATGAGTCTCAGTGAGTCACCGTGGTTCCTTCCTGAGACCCAGCTGGGGGGCCTGGGGACCCCCATGGGGAGTTGGCCAGCTGCTGGGAGCAGCTCTTAAAATGTGTAACTACAGCGACACGGGAGTTGATGTGTGGTATCATTGTCATGTAACTACAGCGACACAAGGTGATGGGTGATGATGTGTAACTACAGCGACCCGGGAGTTGATGTGTGGTATCATTGTCGTGTAACTATAGCAACACGAGTTGACATGTGGTGGTGTTGTGTAACTACAGCGACAAGAGTTGACGTGTGTATTGTTGTCGTGTAACTACAGCGACGTGGGAGGTGACGTGTGGTATCATTGTCGTGTAACTACAGCGACAAGAGTTGACGTGTGTATTGTGTAACTTACAGCGACGCGGGAGGTGACGTGTGTTATTGTAAGACAACTGTTTTTGCTGAAGAGATACAGAGAAACTACTTTTTCTTGCTAAGATTGGGTGGGCATCCCTGTCCCAGTGAGGGGCCCAGGCCTTGGAGGGTGGCTGCGGGTTCCTGCTCCTGGCTGACCCGTGTGTGACGTTTGTCCTTGCATGTCCACTGTCCTGGTTGCAGCATGAAGCGAGCCCGCTCTCTGAATGTCCTAACCGTGGGCGGCAAGGCAGCTGAAGACCATTTCCAAGTAAGGAGCCCCGCCCCCTGCCCCAACTCCCAGACCAGGTGGCGGGCGGCCGCAGGGCATCGCGAGCTGGGTCAGACAGACAGACAGACAGACAGGCGCCACATGACGCCTCCTGAGCACGGACTGGGCCGGGCTATGGGAATGTCACGTCGTCAGCATTCTCGGTACATTAATCAGTGGCCTTGAGAAATGGTCTGGTCGGCCTGATGGAAATGAAACTTTCTGATGGAGTGATGCCTGCATGTGGCCTGTCATTACTAAAAGTGTACTGTTCACTGGTGTGACTTCAGCCTGCGTGGCTAATGGTCCAGTTCAGCTGTTACTGGTGTAAGGGACTGACACGCTGTCCTGGCATCGGACCTGTGAGCCTGTCACCTTTGCACCCTATTCTCTGTCATTTTGTAAATGTCCGGTTACTGTGGTGCGGCCAGGCCTGGGCCCTGGGCCCACCTGGTCTGTCAGGTGCCGGGCAGCCGGGCTCTTCTCAGAACCTTGGACCTGGCCGCACGGCTCCCTGGGGTGCGTCGCCGGCTTTCCCGTTCCCTGCAGCACCTGGGACTGTCCGGGCTGCTCTCCTTGGCAGGGAGAGGCCTCTGCTGGAAGCTCCGGGCGGGGCGGGGTGCCGGGCCCGCAGTGGACACGCCTCTCCCCCGCGTCTGGTGGTGGCACCTGCTCGTGAGCACCAGGCCTCGCGTGACGTGGAGTTTGAGTGGGGCCGCTGGGCCGGCGCCGTGCGGAGTGCTGGTTGAGTGTAATTTTCCCATTTGTTTTTCATGCAGGAACGAAATAATTGTCTAGCAGATGCGAGAGCTCTGAGTGCCAGCCACACTGACCTGGCGCACTGCGGGCCGGGGCCGAGCTAGATAAGCCGAGCCCGCCCGCCAGGCCCCTGCCCACGCTGCCTGGCAGGGAGGCCGCTCGCTTCCTTGGTGAGGTGGCGACCCACCGCCACGGAGGCTTGTCCGAACTCTGTTACGTGGTCTGCAGTCCTGGTGACCGAGCGCTGCCGGAGCACGACCGTGAGACCGGCCTGGCGGGCCAGGCACAGTCCGGCAGCAGCGGCGTCACCGCAGACTCGCTGCTTCTCACGGACACGCACTTCTGCACGGCCCCGCCAGTTTAAGTTGAGGCGTGTTGATGCGGTACTTAGTGGGCTGTAAATGGGGCGTCTGGAACCTTCAAGTCCATCTTTGGAGAATAAGCATGTAATGACCCGTAACGCCTGGAGCGTAGTGGGGGCCAGCGGGGGGTGGGGTGGTCCCTCAGGTGCCAGGTCCCAGCTCCCACCCTGCCCCTGCTTCGGAGCCCTGGCTGCACCCCAGGCTCCCATGTTTTCTGTTTAAAAAGCTCTTTTGGTCCCGTAACAGGGTGGGTTTTGACAAAACATTTTCAGATCAACCCTCAGGCACTGCTCCTCACAGGGCTCTGAGCTCAGCCAGTAGGTGAAGAAAGTGCTAACCAGATGACAGGTAGGGGTTCCAGGTGAGAAATCTGGGCGCACGTCCACGCCGGTGCCAGCGCTCCCTCCAGCCAGGCCTGACCCACCGGGCGTCCGTCCCTTGAGGACCATGTATGTTAGTGCCGGGCACAGGGGTTCCCCGCGGCCTTTTCCACGTGGACAGCGCTGGGCTGGCTCTGGTGTTGTCAGCCGAGCGGGACGTGAGCTGGAGGCAGCGGCACGGGGGTCACAGGGGGGCCGACTCCCAGTTCCTTTCAGTCCCCGCGATTACAGGCTGTTTGTTGGTGACAGTGCACCTTGCTCCCTGCGGGCCGGCCGGCCTCCTAGTTCCTGGGCGCCTGCGCTACCCACGGCCGGCCCGACCCGGCAGCCGCCTCCCTTGGCCACCCGCTTTTTGGCTCCATCCGGTGTGCAGGTTCTGGTGGGCCGGGTCCCTTTCTGCACGCACGCGCCGTAGGCCGAGAAACCTGGAGGAGCAGGGCTCTGGCCGGCAGCCACGGCTCCACGCGAGGTGCAGCAGCACCGCCAGACGCCGTCCCCTTGCCTCCACTCCGTGTGGCCGGCTTCTCCCCCGAGCAGCACGGCCCCTGGACCCAGGGCCCCTGGTGACAGGTCCCTCGGAGCAGCTCCCAGGAGAATGGACCGGGACTCCCGTGCTGGGGCCCGTCTGCAGGACCCTTTCCTGAGCCTGGCCGCTCCCCGCCCGGCCCCCTTAGGTTGTGGTGCCTTCGCAGGTGGTGGAGGGGTAGGGGTGAGAGGATGGACTGAGGCCCTTGTGACGGCTCCATGCTCAGGGCCCATGCACATGGGCACCTCCTCCAGGCCTGCTATCCGCATCTTCCCCTTCTCGGGGCAAGCCGTGCGCCAGGTGGCCCTGTGTGTTCCCGGGGGGCCAGCCCATTCCCCACGGTTCCTGCCTGAGTCCTGCAGGCACACACGGAGGCCCCACCCCACAAGCACCTGAACCAGAGGCAGAGGGCGTGGGGAGCAGGCCTCCTGACCCTGCGGCCTTCACACGGGGGAGGGGTGCAGGCAGTTCTGTCGTGGAGTTAAAGAGCCCCTGGGATGTCATGTGACTGGGAGTCAGTGCGAACACCAAGGACCTGCATGTCAGGCAGGGCCCGTCTCACCGTGTCGCGTGTTCTTGGGCTGCACGGTGAGGGCTGCCTTGGGACACGCTCATATGCACACTTGGCAGAGGGTCATGTGCAGACCACCCTGTCCCAAGGGAGCCCCACCCCAGGGAGAATGTGGTCCCCAGCGTGGGGCTGACCTCGAAGGGGTGGGGTGCAGGTCTGAGGATGCGGGGGTGCTAAGGCCCAGGGGGCAGGCAGGCGCTCCTTAGGGACTGTCGGCTCCTGGTCAGTCTGTGCTGGGTGGGCAGCCCTGGCCGGGGGGTGGGAGGGGCAGGTCACCCCGGGGTCGAACGCTGGGTCGTGGGACATTCATTCTGGGGCTGTAGCTGTTTCTGTTGTGACTTGACTAGAACACTGTTTGCAATTGTTTGTATTTCATTATAAAAATAAAGCCTTGCTCCCGCTGTGCGGCCCTGCACCTCTGTGGAAAGGTCTCACGTGGGCGCCTTCCCTTCCACACCCGCCCCCGCCCCACGGGGCACGGGACACGCAGGGAACGTGATGACATTTACAGCGGGTCATCCTGCCACAGAGAGGTGCCCAAACAGTGCGGTCCCATCCCAGGGTGGCCGCTCACTCGCCCCCCAGAGCCGGCAGCGGCCGGGGTCGGGATGCTGGGCGGGGGGGCAGGTCCACGGCTGTTCGGTGCCCCCCTTTCTCAGGAGGTACAGGTGCCGCCTCCAGGGCGGGGGGCTGGGGAGCGGGTCACTCACTCAGATAGCTGTGCCCACTCACGCCAGGCAGCACACGAGGCGCCTGGGCAGGGAGCGGATGAGGCGGAGGCTCACTCAGCTCTGCCCTGATGGAGGCTCTGCCCTTGGACTGGGCAGCCACGGCCCCCTGGGCCCTGCTCCCACCACCAGCTGGTCAGACTTGCACCCAGAGGGGCAGGACCTGTGCTGATGGGGGGTGTGGGGGGAAGAGGGGGCACTTTCATGGGAAGCAAGGCCCCAGCTATGACGACGAGCTGGGCCTATGAGGTCCTGTCTGGCCCTCCTGCACCCGGGACGGGCAGGGTCTGCCTCTAAGGGAGTCTCCTGTGCCCGGAACGGGTTTTCCTGGCAGATGGGCCAACCCAGCAGGGGCTGGTGGCAGAGACAACACTAAAGTAAAAGACCCTTCAAACCCCCGCTTGGGAATGGGGCAGCCTGCGGCAGCGGGCACTGCTCCTCGTGGCCCTGCAGTGGGTCGTGCTCCTGGGGGGGAAGGCGCTGCCCCAGGGGCCCGGGCTGACCTCAGGAGGGCTGACCCGGAGCCGGTGCCCCTGGGAGGCCGAGGCAGCGGCTTTCCTGGTCAGCAGGACTGGGTCCCAGCGTCCCTCGCACGCCCTCGGCGCTGACTGTGTAGGAGCAGGAGGAGGGAGGCAGGTGGGGGGCGAAGACCACCCTCAGGGTGC